AAGACCTCCTGGCCAAATATGTTGAGGCGCTCAACACAAATATTGATAGCCGCTTGGGTGCAGCCTTACCAGTAATATCAAATTTTGGGATATTCAACCCTACTCTTGTTCCAGGAAGAGGTAATGCTGCATTTAATGATTATGGTGTAGCTGCAATGAAAAGCATATCTGACTTCCTCTTTCCTCAGGTAATATTACTAATTAGAGTACAGTATAAATATATGATTTATTTTTTTATCTATAGTAAATAATGTGCTGACTGTAATTAATAAATCTATGTACTGACTTACCTTTTTAAATGACATTGTATATTCTTGTTTGTAGAATGAAGATAAGAAGCAGGAAATGGTGGTAGAGTGGAGTAAATTAAAGTACAATCTGTTGGAATGGAAAACACTTGTACCAGCCCATTTGTCCAGTGCAGGGCAGATTACAGAGTGGTGCATGCTGCGAATACTACAATTATGCAGCATTCAATTTTTTTCACAAATGGTTTCACTGGTTGAAGTTATTCTTGCTCTTCCAATTTCCAATGCGTGGCCAGAAAGGGGAGTAAGTCAAGTAAGGCTAATTAAAACGAGACTCAGAAGCAGAATGAAAAATGACTTGCTTAATGCTCTACTCAGTATCGCTATAAATGGACCTCCTCAATTTACAGCAGAGTGTGACAAAATCTTTGAATTGGCAGTGGCAAGTTGGATGAAAGCAAAGCCAAGGCGTAAATTGAAGAGAGAAGCAGTAGTTTGTAGTGCTGTAGAGCAAACTGTAGACAAAGAGCAGCAGTCAAAAGCGGAGCTTGCAACTGCTATGGCATCACTGAATTTAGATTTGTCAGATGATAACACTTCTGCTGATGAGTCTGAATGAATACTGTACATCTTTTATAATAATAATTCTGGATTTATATAGCACCTCACGTTGACACAACCTCAAGGCGCTTAACAACAACAGAGAAGAAAAAATTAAGTTCAAATGATTGGTTTGATGATTATCAATAAATGTTATTATTACAATGATTTGGTAATTGGAATCATTTCAAGGCCTGTTACTTTCTTATTCATCCCAAATCCTTTCATTTTT